CATTTTACTTTGTTTGGGGACCCTAGAATCTAATCGAGAGTCACACGCTGTGATATATGTGATGGGTATATCTGTTTTAATCTAGAAGGTTGCTATTTAAAGGATGGTCCTGGGAGCTTGTCAGAAATACAGACTCACAGGTCCCACCGCAAATCAAAATCTACATTTTATCAAGTGCCCAAAGAATCTTTATGCATGGTAAAGATTGGGAAGCCCTGGTCTAGCAATCTCCTTGCCCTTTGTTTGCTTTGTATCGCATTGAGTATTTTTAAGGGCCCACGTCAATTCTGTTGCAGAATAGTTCATGTTCTGAAATGATCTTAGTGTTTATTCTTAATTATGAAATATTTTTGGCAAAAAATAATCACTTAAATATTATTACATACTTCCTATAGTAACACAGCTGGGAGTACATGTCAGGTTGTCCAATTTGGGTGGTTATGTTTAGTCACTTGATTAATGTAGTCTGCTAGCTATCTCTTTTGCAAAATATTTTTATTTTGTATTAATATGTCATCATCTATGAAGACATAAAAGTCCTTCCCTTGGTAGTGTTAGCATTTCTTGATGATCTTAGTCTGAATCAGCTAATGCAGGGAGGATTGGAGAAGGATGATTGCCTGATTCTATCCTTCTGTACTCTTTAGCTGTTGCATAGAAACAAGCTCTCTGTTGACAGGAGGGTGACAGATGGAAGTGGAACTGGGTATTTCAGGTGGGACAAAGTAGTGAGGAAAGACACAGCCCAGAGGAAGGCAAACCCAGAAGATAGCTGGGACCCAAACAGAAGTCAGCCTAGACAAGAAAGGAGAACATCAGGAAGCACAGCTAGAAGGCAGAAAAGGTTTAACAGAGGAGGCTGGGAGGACAGGGCCTCAACTCCATCTTCAGATCAGGAATATTTCCTAGGCCCAAGTTTGGGCCCAAGTCACATTCAACCACCTGTGGCCATCACTCAAGACCACAGGTGTTCTGGTTGCCTATTGAGTGATGCCCTTAAGTCTTTGCTACTACTCAAGGTGTGGCCATGACCCAGTCACACTGGTGTCACCTGAAAGCTCACTAGAACTTGAAAACAAATCCCAGACCTTCTGAGTTAGAACCTGCATTTCATGAAGATCCCCAGGGGACAGTAATTCCTTGAAAGCAAACCACTGCCGTGAGCCACCCTGATCCAATTCCCATTCTCAAGGACCTGCCAAACCCCAGCCTCCTATTGTGACCTCCACTCACTTTTCCACTGATTTCATGCTAGCTCTGAAATCAGACTCTGCTTGTCTAGATTAGAGCAGAGTTTTATCCTTCTCTAATCTAGACAAGCAAGATAGCAAGACATTGAAGAGCATTGCCTTTAAGGTAGCCTTGAAGCCTGCGTTTGAATCCATCCTGTACTGTTTGTCTCCTGTGGTACTTTTTGTAATCATTAAATCACTTCGCTAAGTCTAGTCAATCCCTAACTTTTGGGGTCCAGGTAAAGGCCAAATAAGATAATTCACATAAAGCATTTAACCCCAAGAGTAACCTTCATTCAGTGCTCAATCATGTTAGCTTGAAAATAATAGAGATCTTTATGGAACATGAGACAGAGCCCACCTTACAAGGCAATGTAAGGCCACAAAGGAAGAGGATATGGATTTGTTCCTCGCATATCGCAAACAGTAGTTACCTTCAATCATTTTCACTCACAGAGAACATTTTGTGTCAAGAGCTAATTTGGGAGCTGATTGTTCCTATGCATCATTGCTCTGTGCCTTGGATGTCACTTCCCTGTGAAAGAATTAAGCAATTTTAAGGTACTAGGGTAAACTAAGCACATAATAAGGATATAGGCAGCCCCCCAACCAGCTACCTTTTTCAAGAAATTGCTACATTTATGTAAAATACCTGATTATGTCTGCAACAACCCAGTGGAGGGAAGAATTACTGGCCCTTTAATCGCAGTGGTTAAAGGAGAGAAGGAAACGGTGCTAGGCAGAGAAGATGACTGGGATGGGGGTCATTTCTCCTGGGACAAACAAGCTAACCTTGACCACTCTTCTTTCCACACACAGAAAGAACTTTAATATTGTTGGGCTACCCATCTGCTATCCACAGAGCCTGAAGGATGCTTTAGGAAGTATAGTGGGTTGGTAATCATGGAGATAGGGTTTCCTAAGCTACTCAAGAGAGCTGAGAATGACAGCCTGGGAGGGTCAATTTGTTTGCATCTGGGTCAAGACTGTGTACCACCTTGCTGAAAGCCAATCACTGAGCAAGATGGTTCAAACTTCTCTTGGGTTCAAATTCCCAGGCAGGAATTCGGAGAGAATTTCAGGACTGGGGCACCCTGACGAAGAGGAGTATAAAAACAGCTGTCAGCATAGTGCCTAAGGTATTTACAGTCTTTGATAAATTTTTAGCGGTCATCAAATCCTTAGACTCTGCTTCTCTTCCCTCAAATGTAATGACTGCTTATAGGAGGAGAAGGTGAGAGGAGTGAGCTTTTTTTGACCTTGGCTTTGAAAACCAGGGTCTTTCCTGGTACAATGAAAAGCGCACTGGAGAATTTGGGTCCAAGATTGGTCATTAACTCATCAGTGCCTTTGCTTCTTCTCCTACAAAATTAGCATGATGAACCGAAAGCTGTCTAGGTTCCTCTCTGGCATTGACTCTCTAATTGTGTCTTCCATGAGTAGCTGGATAAAGTTCCAAGACCCCCTGCCCTTCAAAATCGAAACTCTTCTGCCCTGTATTCCTTAGGCCCTGAGTAGAGGATGAGGCAAGAGGATTCTTTGTGGTGCTAATATGCCTCAATTTTGGCATACCCTTCCTTGAAGTTGGGAAACCAGAAAGCACTCAAATGACCGAGAAGTGAGGCCTTCCCTGCCTCCCACCCCATACATTGGGTTCTCCTTCCTAATATTGCCTCTTACAGCCATGCTGGGCCAGGGGCATCAGCATCACCTGGGAGTTTGTCAGAAATATAGAATCCCAGGCTCTACCCAAACTTGAATCAAGATTCACATTCTAACAAGAGCCCCAGGTGATCTATAGACACACTGGAGTTTGAGAAGCACTATGCTAAAGCACTCTGATTCTTTTATTTGATCACTCTTGCCCCAGCTTACATTCTGATATATATTTATATGGACTAAATGACTTCACTCATACTATAGCTTCCAGTGACTAACATAGCGCCTACCCCGGGCCTTGTGCTCACCCACCAGGTGCCAAGTGCAAGTGAGTGATTCTTTAGTATCATCACCCCCCCGCCCCCGCAGACACACACACACACACACACACACACACACACCCCACCAACAGATCTGATGGTTTTGAAATTCGAGTGTTCTCTCACAGTCTCTGATTAAGCCCTGGGTGACTGATGAGTTCATCCATCTTAGCACCACATTTAAATGTAAACGTTTTTCTTTGTGTGTTTGCACATCACACTAATCGATAATCATGCTCGGTGGTAAATTAGCTGTTTATTAAATTTTGAACTGCTGGTTGTTGTCTCACAGAGGTAATATAAAGGGGAATTTTGAGATGTCGGGTTTTCCTATGAACTGCATGCGTAGTTGATTGACCACAAACTTAAAGCACTGTTAGGTAGGTTAAGAACTTTCAACTAAAGCCATAAAATCATAGAATATCTCAGCACAGGGGAAAGGACCTTTTAGACCAAGTTCACCTCCCTTCATCTGAGAAACTGAAGCCCAAAGGTGCAGACGGACTGACTTCCCCTATCTCCAGATTAGTTTGCTTTGTCTCCAGGAGACTTGTGACTCAGTACCACCCACCTGGGCTAGAGAAGAGATACATTCATCAGATGACAAAGTGTCCATGGGAGGCAAAGGTCAGAGCTTCTGGGGATATGGTAAAAGCAGGGTAACTTCAGATGGTCCTAAGCATTCATACAGAACACTAAGAAAATCAGATGTAACAGTAAACTTCCTACTTTGTAGGGGTAGGGAAGTTGATTTTTCCCATATAAATTCTTACCTCTCTCTCATCTTTATTAATACTTTGATTCAGTACACTCTAGGAGATTCTAACTTGTACACATCAAAGATAAATAAGATGCTCCATACCTTCCTGGGAGGACACCTTCGGGTGTCTCCATAGCTGACATGGGAGGAAAAAGAGAGCAGGAGAAAGTTAGCCTCTGATAAATTTGTTGGAGGAGGAGAAGCACAGCCCTCCGCCTCTGTGGACTACTTGTTCAGATGATCTGAACTGGACCTCCCTTTACCCGCCTCTAGCTCCTAGCCCATGGCGCCCTTCTTCAGCAAACAATCTGGTTCCATCAGCCTCTTACTTGTTTATGTAAAAATGTATGTATATGCTTATGTTTATTATGGCAAAATAACGTGTAACATAATGTAAGTGTATGGATATATAATATACACTTATGCTTATTCATGTTCTATATTTATAAGTATTTGCATATTCTCTTCAGACACAAACTTGTAACAAACCCATCAGGGCAGGAACCCAGTTTATTTATAGTATTTTCTCAAAACTTGGAATATAAACACTTAATTCAGAATTTCCAACCACAGGAGAGATATAAATGAACCTTCCAGGTATGTTTATGATGTACTTTCACAGATGAATCAAACATGGAAAAAACTCATACATATTTATAAACTTCACTTGATCTTATATTGACTGAATGGGGAAAATAACACCTGTAGAGGGAGAGAAAGCCCTGGCCTGGGTGGTAAGGATTCCAGCTGTAGTCTCTGAGCTCCATGAAACTTGCTGAGTGGCCCTGGCAAGCCATTTATCTCACTCAACCTCATGTTTCTTGTCTGAGAAATGTGGATAGTAATCCTTGTCTTGTGTAGGAAGTCTACTGTAAACTAAGTCAGTGAATTTTTTTTTAAAATTTAAGAGTGAAATGGAGGGGGAATTCTAAATTGCACAGTGCTTTTCGGATATCCAAATTGAAAAAAGAAAAAGATGTTTCAATGGGATGCCATCTTCATCCTTCTCTTTTCTCTCTTTGCTTCCAGGACTCCATTCTCAGCCCACCTGATAACATCCCCCTTAAAGGAGGTAAGATCTTGGAATTAGGAGAAAATCTGTACTGGACCATCCAGATGATGTCATAAGGTGTGGTAACCCATTATCAATTAGAAATGCTATGATCGTGCCCAACAGGAGATGGGGGAGGGTGGAAGTTAGCATTGCTCAGGGCTGAGCTGCTGCATCAGGTCAGCCACACCAGCCTCACACCAGCCCTTGGCACTCCCAATAATGAACACTCTTCCTATAGCATAGCTATGGCATGTGCACTAGCAAGAACATAAAACAGCATTGTGTTAAGAACTGGAAACCCTAAATTGGGTAAATGTGGGTTTGAATCTTGACTCTAGTTCTCACGTGGGAGCCTCATCTCCTCATCACTTAGATGGGAATTCACCTCTTTGAGGTATCAGAGCAGCCAATTAGACCCATCCACAAATGGATTGGCATGGTGACCAGCACATAATAATGGTCAAATAACTAGTAATATCCAAAATGCATAATGAAGTTGAGAGCTTGTGAAAACAGACTTCCTCCTTAACCCCCTACATTACCAGTCACTGAAGTTAATTAATGCATTGTTCTACTAACCCAAGAGGGGTGATATGCAGAGTTCAATTAACATTGAAAATGAAAACTTTGAGATCATCTGACTGATGTTTTCATCACTCACAAGAGGAAAAAGTCAGACCCAGAGAAGGAAAGAGAAGCATCTGGTTCAAGGTCATACAGCCTGACCCCAGAGCTCCTTGTCTCTAATCCAGTGTCTTTTCCATTCAGGAATATCAATCTCTATCTCAGTCCTGTACCTGCAGAAGCTGGGTAGAGAGCACAGGTAGACAACCAGACAGTTTGGAGAAGAAAGGACAGAAGGGCTGGGTGACTCATCATGGACACTAGGGTAGGGATACCAGGGCATCTTTGGGACAGAGGACACAGATGACCTGGCACAACTCTTCACATCAACAAATCACACTTGGTGTTTTCTTTAGGATACCCTTGATAATGTCTTTCCTGTTGTCTGTCACCCAGAGACTTAGAAACTAGGGGCAGAGGGTCCCAAAAGCCAAGCATTCGGAATCTTTCAAGGCAGATGAACAGCTTTGTGAACAATATCTCAGTCTTGGCTGGAATTATTTAGCAGTTGGCATGTGGTCTCAATTCCTATGATACCTGCATAGACAATCACATTAATTTAAAAAGGATCAAGGTAAAATGCAAAGGTAAACTTCTTCCATAAAGGTCCAGATAATAAATATTTTAAGCTTTGTAACCCTTGATGTCTCTGCTGCTATTCTTTGGCTGTGCAGTTACAGTGATAAAGCAGCCAGTCAACATGCAAATGAATGGGCTTTGTTGCCTTTCCCTAAAATTTTATTTATGGATTGAGGTGCTGAGCTGGATTTGGCCATAGGCCAGAATTTGTTGACCCCTGTAGTAGAGATGATATAGACTTTGGAGTTAGATGTCCAAGGTAAATCCTAACATGTTTCTATGGAGCTTTACAAAGAACAAATGAACTGATTGAATCTACCCAGATTTTCTAAGTAAGACTCCCCATTTCTCAAAAGGGAGAAATGAGCTTAAACATGGTCATGATTTTGGTGACAAAGATAGATTTGATCAGTAACAAGACCTCAGCCACAGTGAATTGCTGTTTCCTTACTTGTGTGGTACTTCAATCACACATTGCCAAGCACTGGAGTACTAACTAATAGTTCTGGCCCCATAATAAAGTTTCCATCAACCCACAGTGAAATAGGTCAGTTATGTTTAATGTAAGGACACTTGTCCTCAGAGAGCATGTCCTTTCTGTAGGTTTTGGTGTTAAAATCCCTTTCTTTTACAGTATGAAGTTGGTAGAAGTGGGAGTTAAATTAGTTTGCTTTTTTTTTTTTAGTTATTTTGTTTTAATGATCATAATAGGCAAAATTTAAAACTTTCCACTTCATATTGATCCCCAAATTTTCATTTTGAAGGGAAGTTTCTTTTCATAAAATCTCAAAATTTGGTTAACAGTGGGCAAGATCACTTATCAGATTCTTCCTTACCTGGGCCATGGTGAGGAGTATCAGAACACGAACTAACAAAAGGCAGTCTCAGTTGACAATTGAATGTTTCTGCAAGATTTTTTTTAAATGCTAGTAATTCTCCCACTGGACCTGTGAAACTATCGTTAAAGACCTTTCACTACTTCTTTTGGGTTGATCTTAGCCCCAACAGTGAAATCCAGCAACATGGGAATTCATGTTGCCACTGTTAAACTAGGAGCTGAGGCCCTGGGGATCGGGGTATCTTGCATAAGCTCGTAGGAGTCAATAGCAGAGAAAGGGTGAGAAGCCAGGGCTCCTCCCTGCCCTGCTTGGTGTGCTTCTGCTCTGAGATGCCAGCATCCTCTGTGTGTGGTCCCTGACTTCCTCCTGCTTTTAATACAAGTGTTCACTTCTCTCAGATGGGCAAACTACAGACATTGTAGTAAGGTAAAGTACAAAGAACATCACCTAGGGTAGGACCTGGACTCCAGAGCTGGTTTCTGCACCAGCAGTCTGGGTCTCTTGGGGCCTTGCCTGTAGTTTACCCACAGTGTCTTGAAAGAACTGGAATAGTCCTTCCAGCTTTGACACTTTCTGAAACTGTAATTCTCCTGTCCCATATGTTAAGACAGAAAACAGCCTAACAACGATCTCAAGGATATCTGAAGCCACCGCCTCCTTCTTCAACAAACCCATTTTAAACCTGTACATGCAGCAAATTACCCCTTTTGGGTGAAAAAGTGCCATTTCAAAACATTCCAGGTAGAGCAGACTCACCTTCCAGAATTCTCTAGCAGGAAGCTCCAGGGCAGGAGTTTTATCACTGGAGAGGGACAGTGTGGAAGCCAGACACATTCCAGGGAGCCCTCTGCTATACCATCAGCAGGAAACAAGCAGTGGACAGAGCGGGAGTAGGGCTCTATACACACACTAAAGTAACCCAACACGGGATACACTTAGCTATGGGGAAGCCACAAAAACCTATGCCTGGGCAGGTGATGAGTCCTAACACAAGCCTCCCATTCTTGGCCAAAATAGTCCCCAGCCAACTGTCACCTTGCACCTACCCCATTGTGCTTGGGACAGGCCATCCCCTCATTCATTTGGAGCTGAAGGCCAGCAAGAGAAGCAGGAGTTGAACTTTTCTCCATGTCCTTCTCTCTGAGTCTTATTGTCTCCTGTAGAAGATGGAGGGGATAATAATTACTGTGTGAAGCCACCATGAGAATGGGATGAGACAGCAAATATGCTTTCACCTACCACCTGGCTGATCTACATCCTTTGGGCACACAGTCCACTTTGCTCCTTCGTATTCAAATAAAATGATCCCCTCTTGTCCTTTATACAGCCTGGAAACAAGAAGAATGGGTGAAGAGAGCATGGCTTGTGCTTTTTCACATCATTTTTTGTTCTAATTTGTGCTTCTGCCAAATTTTGAAATCTCACGTATGCTCATAGTATGTGGCTTAGTTGTCCAGATCACAGAATTCAGCCACCTTCGCCTTGATTTCCCTGGAGTTCCAACAAGCACACCTCAATTTGTTTATGCCAATCTATCTGTACGAGAATCTATATGTGGGCTACACAGAGAGCTGGCAAGGCAGTGTAGCATAGCCCAGCAGATGATGTAAAATTGCATCTGAGACTTCTCTGTTCTTATAAAGCCTCAGCTGTTCCAGCCACTGGGAATTTCTTGAAGGACACTCTCCTTTCTCAGGTTCAGCCCTCAGCCACATGGGCTGACCCACTCTCTTTCCTATCCATTTTTATATCCTTCTCCCCATTTCCACAGAAGAAAACAGCCTAACAACGATCTCAGGGATATCTTGAGATAGCTCACACACACACACATGAGTCTGTAGAAATTTAAATTCTGACTTTATTTTAAAGAATGATTTTGGTCCTTTGATCTCACCCCCAGGCCTTCCCAGTGTTCCCTGGTCCTTGTCATAATAAAACACTCCACCCCCCAAATAGCTCTTCCTTGCAGTGGAAGAATTCCATAGACAATGTTTAAGATAGCTTTCTTGTATTTCCCCACTGCAACTGTATGAGGCACTAGCAGGGTGAGAGTGATGGCACTGAGGGACATCTACAATGTCACACTGGCTGTAAAGTTGGTGATGTGCTCATCCATCAAGTCCCTAAAGGTAATGATTATTCCCAATTCGCTTATAAGGAAATAGAAGCACAGAGACACCATGTGACTTTTTAAGATTTCACAGTGAGTAAGGATGGACAAGACCAGTCTAATGCACCTCAAAGCCATTATGCTTAGCCAGGACTAGACTGTGGAATGCTTATCTTCCAGGGCCCCTACCTGCTGTCCACATCTAGGAATCCCTTCTCCATACCTGCTCCCCTGGCTGTTCATTTCCATGTGTTATGGCTTTGAGGCAGAGAGAGTCACTGTGAGGTACGCACATGGGTTTGTAGGAAGGTGGGACTGAGGGATCATTTGACCTGGGTGATTTCATCACCCCTGCCTGTCAGCAGGAAGAGACTTGCCTTTCTTGCAAATGTCATGTGGCTGCGAAGCCTTGGGTTTGGGGGAGCCCTAAGGAAATTGAAGCAGTAGAGAGACCATGTGCGGGATCCCAACAACCCCTTCAGTGTATTCCCTGCCCTGCCTGAATTCTGCCTCAGTTGCAGATGAGCACCAAGGCTGGAGATGGGATTGTAAATTGGCATAGCTGCATTCTGGCCATGAAAGTTGAAGTAGCTCACTTTTCCTCTCCAAGACTTGAGTTCCCATTTCTGTAGTGTTAAGTGAGGGGTGAACCCAAAGATGGTTTTGCCTTAAGCATACCATTCCACAAATCAAATAGACATCTTGAGATTTTCTGACATTTCCAATTTTATCCACTTTACCAGGCTCCTCTCCTCTTCCCCTGCCCCTGCAAAAAAAGAAAATGTGGGCATTAAAGGAGAATGAGTGAGGTGGGCTCTCTAACGAACCAACCCAAAGAAATAATAAAAGTTGCCCATTGAAGGCAG